TTGCTCTTTTGTTGACAATCTTACTGTTATAATGAAAATTGTGTAGCCTGTTGGCCACGCTGTTGATTGGTCTGCTAGATTTTCGTGATTGATCTGATGCTATTTTTCTTGCTTGATTCTGTATTACCTCATAGTAAGAGCCAATCAAAATATAAAGCTGATTTGAGGGCCATAACCTAACTTTTATGCCGGAACCAGTAAAGTTGAACGATTACAATACTTTTGTTTATAGAGATTCTATAAATAAAAACATTGTAATAATGTTCAACTTTATCGATTCTGGCATAAATTAACGATACGATTTCCATAAATCAGGTTAGTTATCAGGTATGTGATCAAAGTGCTCTTCATATTCAAGTGTTCTGTCACTCTGCTAAAGTGGAATATGACGTCTTGCAAAGAAAATGAAAAAAAAATGGTCAAAGAAAGCTATTTTATCTCTAATAGAGGCCTACAAGAAGAATCATGTTTATATGCAACAAACACACCTAATTATCACAATAAATATGTTCGAAATGAGGCATTAAAGAGAGTATGTGCCACTGTCTCAATATTTAGACTTGGCATTGTAGAAAATGAATGCACCACAAAGTTTCACTATTTGCGAACTCAATTTAATATCGAAAATGCAAAAGTGAAATCGTCAATAAAATCTGAAACTGGTACTAACGATGTAAGTATAAAAATCTAATTTATTTCTAACCTGTCTAATTTATCTTACATCAATTCTTATGATTTTTTTTGACAAATGAGAGTTAAGCATTACAGTTGATACGCACAAATTAGTAAACTGAATGTGATATTAAAATAAATTACTAATGAAAATATGTTCAAACATTTCGATTTTTTTTGACTACTCAATGGAAAATTGCATATATACATTCATAGAAATTTCAGTGATGAGGAAAAAGAGTCAAAACATTCAAATATTTTTGTTTGTAATTTATTCTAATAATAATACTAATATTTGTTAATTTGTGCGCATTATTTATAGCACTTGATTCTTATTTATTCTTGTTTTATTATTTAATCTTTTTGAGAATTCTTTAATTAATGGCTTAATATTTATTGTTTTATTTTCACCAAAGCTTGTTTTTTAAAATATTTATAGGTGTACAAACCGAATCTCTGGTACTTTGATCATTTAAAATATTTAGAAACTTATTTTATGCCTCGGAAAAGTCGAAATTCTATAAAGAAAAATTTTACAGAAAAACGATTGACTTTAAATGAGATAAAATGTGACTTTTATACTAAAAATTAAATAATCAATGTAAATAACTATAAATTATTTTTATTATAATTTTGTATTTTATAAATTATTTATTTTTATTGTCTGTAAACTGTTAGAATTTTATTGTTTCTTAATAACAGTATTATTTATCTTTTTACATTGTTTATTTTTGTACTGTAGAATGAAGAACTATTTGAGATTGAAGGATTTTCTGAAATGAATGAGGAATAATTGGAAGGAGAATAGTTAGAAAATACGTATCCAATGGAGAATTGTACTGATAAATCCACAACCGAATCAACTTCAATTTTTACTAAATCATCAGAAGTTATACCTATAGACATCAGTCAATGATCAGTTTTCACCAATTATCAGTTTTCATTCAAATACATTTATATTTATAACTCCTGATAGAACATTTTTTCCTATAAATAATCCTCGTCCTCTTTCAATTAGTTCAACAAATTCTACCACATCTTCATCAAGAATCAACAGTCGCACACCTTGTCCATCTCCGATACCCAAAATCACAAAGAAACAAATTAAATACTGACGGCAATTATACTGGAGCTATTAAGACATTAACAGATTCAATAAAACAATCCATAGTTATAAAGTCAACAAATGAAACTAATAATATTTTAAATGCCTCAGATCCTATTGATACCTATATGGTATTTATAGGATCAATATTAAAACGTTTTAAAAATGAAAGATTTAAATTTCAAATAATGAATAAATTAGTTCAAATGATCATAAGTGCCAGCACTGAAGATCTAGAAAAAAGCAATATTTTAACTGATAGAACTGAAAGACTGATAAACTAAGATAGTCTAAGATAAACTTGAAATTATGAGTGCTTTCTTTCTATTTTTTT